TGTACATAACGATAAACTCTTTCTTTCCAGCAGCTTGCATTTGCTACGTTTTCTTTCTTTCCTGATCTTAACTAAGGAAAATACTCTCTTACTTATCACGACACTTCTGTTACATGCCTTGTTTTTCGAGCCAAGTTTCTTACAGTATTTGGAGTTTATTTTAATTCTTAATCAAATGATCTGTCCAAGAAATTAATCTGAAAAAACATATATAATAAATGTTCAAATACACACCAATGGGGACACCTGGTGGAGAAACTCTGAGTTGCCCAGGACGCCCTGCATTAAACCCACGAACGGGTGAGCATGAGTTAGCTCATCAGTGGGATGTCTGCGAATATTTTTAACCATGGCAACTGTAAGATAACTTTCATTACTTTACCTGCTCGCTGGTGATGGCTCCCTCCAAGCATCCTGCACTTGCTGCTGCCCAAGAGTACATGCACGCAAGTTGTGGTGGTGCTGATGCACAGCGAGTGGGATCCAAGCACCCCATTCCTCGGTGTCTTTAATGTGACTGGGGACAAAGCTGAGATTACAAGCAAATGCTGTTTCTCTCTTGCTGCTGCACAAGCTGCTGTGTTCAAGTATTCTCGATAAGCCCTGTAGATAGTTATTTAAGAGGTGTTCTATTGACCTATATTTGGCAGGTGATGTGGGAAGGTTAGGTGAAGATCCAGGACCGTGTCTGCTCCAAATTGAATCCTACTCTGTATCACATGAGATGCTCCAGCCTCAACAGAGAGCAACTCAAGTAACCACTAACATTTTCCAGCCTGCAGTGGAAGTCCTTGCCCTCCTCCAGTGGGCAAGGCCCCCCTTCCCACTCTCCTGTAAGCGTGGCCTTGGGAGAGACCATGGGAGGACAGCCCAGACTGCCCTCATCAGTGAGCTTGGCCAGGGAGAGGGGTGCTGTGCTTTCCACTGCCTTTGGAAGCAGGCAGGCAGTACTCAGTTCATCCCTGGGGCACTACACCTATGTCAAAGGGCAGACTGTGGCTTCCAGGCTGTTTATTTGTCTGTGCTATAAAAGCTCTACTTGGAGTGGGACAAGCACAAGACCCGAGGATGAGGCAGTTGGCTAGGCAGCATTGTTGCACACATGCTCTAGAAACTGTATGCAAATGGAGCACACTTTAATTAGTGTGAAAATGGTTGTGGTTGGTTATTTTACTCCTAGCTCGCTCAGAAAGCAAGCATTAGCCTTTCCTGTATGGGGCAGCAATGTACAGATGGGTTGTGGTGTGCCTTCTGGCATGCACCAGCTGTGGAACGTGGGATTATCTGGGGGTTTTGTCTTTCTAAGTAGGAGAGGAGGAGAAGAAAGGAATCCTTACAGTCGTGAAGAAGGAAGGATAATTTCTGCCTCGTTGTTTTAATGCAGTCTATTCTGACATAGAGTGAAATTTATAGCCTACTGGTTTTCTCATTGTTTGGTAAAGAGGGAACATATTAATTATAATTCTGCACCAGAGCCACCAGACAATTGAGAGAGAAAGTGATTTTGGCTTAGACCATCACAAGTTGGGCAGCAGACTGTGGATTTTTATTAGATATAGCAGAGTATTATTTGTGTTTAATTCACATTTCAGACTCTTTTCTCTGTGGCAAGTCAGAGCTGCAAATTAAGTATGATTCGCCATCCCGTAGGCATCCAGTATGGCCTGCTGACTCTCTGCACCCTCTCACAAAACGAGACTAATGAGAGACAAGCGGATTTTATTTGTTGGTATTCCTGTGTTGTGATTAATATTAACACAAGACACCATTTTTTGCCACAGGACTCGAGAGTGGGCAATTTTAAAGTCAGTGCTTGAATTCAGATGGCTTAAGGAGAGTCCTTTCCTGCTTCAGGTGCTCCAGCTGGCTTGGAGACTCAGCAGAGCTGGCTGGAGGCAGTCACTATGACTAGCCACCAGTGACTGTCCTGGTCCAGACCAGAGGTCCCTGTCTGACAGCAGTCAGGAGCAGATGCTAACAGAAAGAACGTTGTAGCAGGCTTTACAGACTAAATATTTCTTGCTTCTCTTTCTTGCAGAAAACACCTTCTGCAGTGGTGACCATGTATCGTGGCACAGCCCTTTGGACAACAGTGAATCTAGAATCCAGCATATGTTACTGACAGAAGACCCTCAGATGCAGCCGGTGCAGACTCCTTTTGGGGTGGTTACTTTCCTACAGGTATGACCCAGCAATGGTGGCTCTGACTGTCTCCTCCTGGGCATGGAATGCAGCTAACATTACATTTCATTTAGCTTTGATAAGTCAGATGTTTATTATCCTGTCTTCCACCTTTCTTCCTTATTTGATTACCATGGATCTCATCTTTGAGTCGTTACTCTGGAGGTATTCATTAAGCATTTTACCAGGATGGAGCAATGGCCCACTTGGTTCTCAAGCTAGAGGTCTATCTGATAGAGAGAAGCGTTACACCCCAAAACAGACCCGGAGCTGAATATTACATTACTGCTCTGAAATGTCAAACATGAACATAGGGAAAAAAGCTGAGATAAACACTCTTAAAAGGTAATGTAGACCTAAATTGAAATTAATTCTATGGTATTATCAGTAAGTGATCCTCTGGTTTGAGTTCCAGGAAAAAAAGAGTTTGAAGCAAGACTCAGAGTTGCTTTAGCATTATTTAATGCCAGAAACGTAGCTTGCAGCATTGACATAAAGATTCTTTAGAGGCTAAGTAAGTTTTCCTGTGTTAATCTACTGTTTAAGAAAGGTTCAGGTTTGCTTTGCAAAAGAAACATTTGAAAAATCCCTTGCAATTTAACCCTACTATTCAGTGAGGGGAGCTTCCTTGGCCAAACAGGTTTGCTTGCTTTCCCAAAGTCCTTCTTCTCAGTCATGTCTCTTAGATATGAGCTGCTTTGGATATTTTTAAATTGCATATGGAGCTATTAACCATAGTGGAAGAGCTGGCATAGTTTATGCCAACTGCTGATTTATCCCCCCTCCATGGAAAAGCTTCTATCCTGTGGGAAAATGAAAGTGTCTGTATCTTACAATTTAAGCTTCAAGTTGCTCCCAGTTGTCCTTGCCTATAGTTGCAACATGTAAGGGCAAGGTCCATTACCACAGACCTGCGCAAGGCAACTGCTGTGCAAGGGCAAAGGCTTTCCTGAATTTTCTGAGCTGACCAAAAAGTCTGTGTTTTATCAAAAAGAAAGAAACCGGTGTGGGGTTAATCAGTGAAAGGTGAATTGTGGGACATGGAAGGAGAGACAGAAAACCAAGCGAAGCAGTGTGATTCCCAGCTGACTCCCCAGTTAGTGCTACATTAGCACACATCTCTTCTTTAGTGCCCAGCTGTCCTGGATCAAAGGACAGTCAACTTGGTGCATCCTGAGGCTCTTGGCCTCTAATCTTCCACAACACATATGGTTGACTTATTTTTCCCCTTTGTTTGATGCTTGTTTTTATGGATTTATTTTGACCCATGAGGATAAATGATTGCAAAAAGAAATGAATGAACACAAAATAATTTCCTGTTTAGAGTCTTGCTGTTTGTATGTAATTAGTGAGTGAAGGCCCAGGGAGGGGTGTCCTGAAGCGAGGGAGATTCAGGGACATTCAGCCTGGGAGGTGGGTGGGGATGAAGTGCATCTCCAAGGGCTGGGTCCTGAGAAATGAGCTCTGCAAGGAGCAGGGAAGGTAGGGTATGCAGAGCTGGGTACGTGCTGACGTTGATGGTTTTCCACGCAGATCTCAATCAGTGCAGATACATGCGTGCAGCAAAGGCACATCAGGCCTTTGCTGCTCTTGAGAACTTAGTTTTCAGTTTTCCTCTTTTCTGATAAAACATCGGTTGAACAGATTCTGACCAAAAATTCAGTGTCGGTGGAAAAGGCGTAGAGTATTGAAGAAGAAAATAGAAGGCCATGGCTAAGACATTTTTTCATCCCAAATAGTGAATCATTGTGCTCAAAGGCACAAGCCAGCGGTTGATGGATCAGGAAGAAAGTGCCTTCCTCTATCAGCTGAATGGTGTTTCACCCCTTCGTTTGAAGCGGCTGATCTCAGCTGCTGTGAGAGAGACATCTGGTATTGCTCAGTGTGGCAGCTCCCATCCTGAAAAGCAAACACATCCTGCCTTATACAGGAAGGCAGAAGTCTGCAATTGCCTGCAGTGACGAGTGGATTATGCGATGTGTAAGCAGCTTTGCTTTATGGTGCCGGGTAAGATGTAACCAGTCAGCAAACTGAGTCGGTCAAGGATTTATGAGTTCCAAAGCACTCCCTTGTGGCAGCAAGTCCCTTGCCTCATTTAAATTGCTGGTGCAGTGTTGCGTTTGCCCCCAGCAATTGGCTGACAGAGGAGTGTTTTGCATGTGCTCAGACCCTAACCTGTCCTGTCTTGTGTGGACTAGATTGAAAAGTGAGAACAGACTAGTGGATCTTCAGCAAACCCTGATTTGTCACCAGGCCCTCCTCATAGTTAAGTTCACACATGCCATGCAAGATTAAATGTTGCGTGACCAGGGTACTTCACATGGTAAGTGTAGAGAAGAGGGCATAAAGGATTGCAGAATCCCTCTGTTGTCTCAGGCTCCATTTGTCCTCGTTTATCTACTTAGTTTGAAGAAATGGTACTTCTCTGTATCTGCACTGTGTGATCCAGCACCATGTGGTACATTTTCTCTACAATTCTTGCATGGTTCCCATCCAGTTTAGTGTCTCTGTTTTCATTTATTCCAGATTGTTGGAGTTTGCACTGAGGAACTGCATGCGGCTCAGCAGTGGAACGGGCAAGGGATCTTGGAACTGCTTCGGACTGTCCCGGTGTAAGTGCTCGTATAGTGCATATAGGGGAGCATTCCCATAGAGAACAATTCAGTTGTTTATTTTTATTAACAATCTTTAACTTTTTGATGGAACTTACTTAATCTTGTGCTGTAGCAAGAGATGGGAATTTGTTGCAAATCTGTTCTCACGCACAGACACTTAGATGGCAAATTAATGCATGTGGAAGTCCACATGTTCCGGGTGAAACAGAATGAGGTCTTGAAAGCTTAATTTCCTTCCTCTTATGCCTGCAGCGTTTTGTCATTGGTTCTTCCTGAGAGAGCTGTGATAACTGTTACTTCTGACCTCTCTGTGTAGTTCAAAAGAAAGGAAGGAGAGGGTCTGACTTCCAGTGCCTAGCAAAGCTTGGGTACTGTCTGAAAGTAAGAAAGTCACTCTCAAACTGGCCCCACTTTTGGTGGGCCGGTTTGCAGTAGGAGGATTGCTCATGCAAATGAAGTTCATTGTTATTTCTCCCATGGCAAAACAAAGATATCATTGGGTTACGGAGGATATGGGTTTTAAATGTTAAATGATATGTTGATGCTTTATTTGCTGCCAAAAATTTTTGGCTTGCAGGTGTTTTTAAATCTTTTTCTCTTACGTTTAGTGGAAGATACTGCCATGTGATTGTACCTGAAAAGATATTTTTTTTTTTTAAACAAAATGGTTCTGCGTATGTGTTCCTGGGCACAGTAGTACACTCTCTTGTATCACAATGGCCTTTGATTGATTGATTGATTGATTATTTGGAAGAGCCTTTGCTGCTGGACTTCTTAAACTTGAACTTTTCTCTTTTAGGCACAAGTGCAGATAATTTATGTGAATGCCCTAGAGTAGAGTGAATTTGTCCAGCTGCAAGCTTTGTTTCTGGGTCCCCAAGACAATAAACACTGCTTGCAGCTCCCTTGGCTCCTCTACGTCAATACAGATATAGCACCCCTCTCCTCAGTCTGTTCTCATGTTGGTTTTTGGTTTTTTGTGCTGTGGTACAAGCACCTTCCCAAGGATAAAATGAAACCCAAATGTGCATGATTCAAAGGCAAAGCTGCAAACTACTAAGCTGCTGATGGGGAGTCAGGGTAAAAGCCTCTTACATCCCAGTAAGGAACTGAAGCAGGTCACACCTCTGCAGTTAATAATTAACAGCTTCCAAACTTATGTGAAAAAAGAGTGGCTGTCGACGCATCTGAAAAACTATAAAATATTAACTTTTATGGCTCCCACTTCAAGTGCTTTAGGAGACTGTAACACAGACAAGGCCAGAGGAGGGGGCTTTTGACTACGATAACAAAGTATCTCATGAAAAAAATGAAAATTTTTATGGCCATTCCGAAAGACTTCAGTTTTTACTTCAAACGAAAAGCACCGTCTAAGGCTGACTTCTGCAGTCTGCCTGCACTGTGACCCGAAGTAAAGCCTCCGAGTAGTTCATCTTCACAGTAATCTGTTTTCTATCACCTTGGTGGGGAAACATCTCGACCCTTCTGACTTATTGCTAATGAAAACAAAGATTTCCCTGAACCACCTGAGTACTCGGCCATTAAGTACCAACTGGACAAAACATCTATTCTGAAGCTATTTATCAGAGCAATAAGCTTTTTATGGTACTGAACGTGACTGCCGATCTCAGCAAAAAGCGCAGTCCCATTGGGACCCTGCTGCATCTTTAGACATGTAATAGAGGTATAAATCTTGACCCCATGCCTTGCCCACGTTTCTTAGACCTAGGCTACCACCGGACTTCTCAGTCCCAAGTCAGTTACCTGTAAGATTAAAAGACAGTTCAGTCTTGTATGAGTAACTGGGTCCATACAGGGGATAGCCTGTGTCAATCCTGGCTGCTTTGCAAGACCTGGTGGTGTCAGGCACTAGGCAGATAACAGCTAGGAGGGCTTTCATTGTGTATTTGGGAAATGTAAAGGACAAATGCATGCTATGGGCTGTATACACAACACAGAGGGGCTGCCAGGCTTGTTTTAAACTCTGTCTTGTGCTTCCTTTATGTGCAGGTCCACTCTGAGGACTCTGTTGGGGAGCACTAGCTAAAGTGCTTGTTTGGTTCGTTACCTTTCTTTCTTTCTTTGTAGAGCTGGAGGCCCCTGGTTGATAACGGATATGCGAAGAGGAGAGACAATATTTGAGATTGATCCACATCTGCAAGTATGTCTTTAGTTAATAAAATGTCACGTCTTTTGTCGTAGCCAGGGAGAATTGGTTTAATGGTATAAAACAGTTCTATTATTTTCTGTAAAGGTGCTGTAATCTTCTCAATGATTGCAATAATGATGGAAGAGTCTTAGAGACTCCCTTTGCCCTCTCAGAGATGCTTCAAGAGTGCACATGTCCAGCCCCAGGTGGATGGCAGCTCTAGGAAAAAATTTAGAGAAGAGAGACCAGGAAAACAGAATCTCATATGTGAGACAAATTGGTAAGATTTGGTCTGCATGTTTTAGAAAGGAGGAAAATAGAAGAAGATAAAAGAACATAGAACAATACAAGATTTAGAGATGATAGATCAGGAAATTCCTCCTTTGTTTTTATATGCAAGCATAAGGAGATATAACATGCAGAAAACTCAAAACCAATTAAGAAATACATTTTTTCACAGCAAACATGACAGTGTAGCTTGTTGCTGTAGGATATCACTTGAGGCCAAGTAGTTAGTGTGATCTGAGAAATAATGGGAAGCCAAAAGTATCTCATGCAGTTATTAATAATCCATGCAGGAAGATATATTAAACCTTCTTCAGAGTTCAAGTTAATTTCTGAAGTTTAAAGATCAGAATCGGATCTCTGTGGAGGGGTTACCGTCCCATGAACTACTGCTGAGCCATGCATTTGGGAGACAGTTCTGCACCCCTTCAGCGTAGTTATGGTACTAGAGTACATGTGTCCCAGGCAAATCGTGTGGTGCTGACCTTGTGTCAGTGAATCACTGAGTATTTGCCTTTAACGGAGAACTTATGGCGTAGCCTCGTAGGGCACATGCATATGTGCACGTTTTGTACAAGCTATTGCATTTGCGTATGATCTGCGTGTCTGCATCTGATTACCCTCAGTTACCTCATAGCATCTTTTATTTTGAAAGCTTAAGAACAAAACCAAATTCTACTTTTACTGTTTTTAAGGATTTGTTCATCTAAAATAACTCCAGTCTGAGAGACACACACACAAAAAAAAAAAGTTCCACAAATGTCCCACAGTGTGGGAGCTAATGCAACTGCAAGTCCTATAAAGTTTTTAGGCTTTTCAAAATTTCGCCCTCTCCCCTCCTGGAGGGCGTTTGTCTGTTCTCTGCACACTGGTGATTCCTAATGATAACAGGGTTTTCTTCAATTTACCGTAAATGAAAAGTAACTCAGCTTACTGGAATCTGAGTCAGCCAAGGCAAGTTAAGGCAAATAAAGAGTACCTCTGCCTCACCAGTGTGTCCTACCACTGAAAGCTGCTATGTCTGTGGTCTTTCCGGACTTCCTCACACTTAAGACATTCCTGTTTCTGTTCTCTCTTGCCCTTGCAGCAGTGCGTATGTGCAGGTGTGTGTGTGTACCTCCTTCCTGCTCCACTGACGCAGCTCCTGGAGATTCACAGGGCAAAACCTGCTGCTGCGGTACTGAGTCCCGCAAAGAGCCTTTGCTGATTGCAAGCAGCAAGGTTGTGCTGGGCTGGGTTCAGCCACGTCGCGCGCCTCCTGCTCTAATTAGTGAGGAAAGGATAAAGTGTGATTTGCTTGGCATTTTCTTGGTGGTGGTGAGAGCTGAAAGGCAGCAGTGGAAGATAGGGGAGGGAGGGAGCGGGCAGAGAAAACAGACAACTTTCCTGGGAGCAGACAAGCACGTTGCCTGCCTGGGAAGCGGGCAGAGCTTGTTTTGAGGCTGCATTGTCTCTTGTGGGAATTGGTTGAGGCCTAAACCCAGCCCTGGCAGCAGCAGCTGTACTTTCTGTTCGAAGTTGCCGAGAATGGATCCCAACTAAGATGTCATCCCAGGATGTCGGCAATTAACGCTGTGGCAAAGCTGGCTGTTTTCTGTTCAGCCAGGCTTCCCTGTAGGCCATTCAGATTTCCCTGGCAGCACTCTCAAACAATCCCTGTCGGTCCCCAGTTCTGCGCTGATTCTCAGTGCTTTGCTTCTGTTTTAGCAGATATCTCAGAAGAGAATAAAGCTGATTCGAATTTCCTGAGTTGTGGTTGCCGCTCTGCGGGTCACGCTGCAGTGCTCTGGCTCGTTTAGAAAGGGATCAATGACTTATAAGAGCCTCAGAGCATCCCTCCCACATGCTGAGAGGAAAATGGGACAGAAACATCCTTTCTTTGAGGAAGGAAAAAGCTGAACCTCCTTTGCCCTGGGCTGCTCCAACCTCCTGCTCAGGCTGCCCTTTCAAGGGAGTAAAAACAGCCCCTCAGCCCAGACACATCTTAGCTGGCTAAAGATGGGGTGAAGCTGTGCATTGCCCCAGCAGAGAATCTGCGCTGGTTAGGGTTTTTTTTGGGTTGTTTTCCCCCCTTTGACATCAATACTTGAAAACGTTATAAAACAGGCATGCAAATTAAGCTGCCTTAGGCCAGCTCGTTTCCATCAGCCCCCCCTTGATCTCCAAGGGATGCCAACAGAGCAGCACTTCTTCCTCTGAGGAAGTGCTCTGCAAACCAGCTGAGATGCAGATGACGAGTCCCTTTCCCCCTCCCCAAGGCTCTGCACACCGTCCGGAAGACCCGACTATGTCTGTGAGCCGGGGCCCCGGCTGCAGGCATGGAGAAGCACGTCCCACCACAACCTCTGCCCAAAGGAGTCCTTGGGTTCCTCTGGGCTCTTCAGCTCCCTGCTTAAGGGCAAGTTAGGTGGCTCTCCCATGCTTCCCCAATCACTGGAATGAAAAATGACTGTGCTGACAAGTTAAACCTTACCATGCCAGCTGATTTGGGTCCTCACAGAGCACAGCAGAGGGCTCCCGAAGGAGCCACGCGCTAAATCTCACTTAGATCATCGTTTGCATATGTAGGATCGGATGTATTTTTATTTCTTTTTCCACAGCTTCTATTTCTGGGTGAAACAACTAATTTTATGTTTAGGATATAACAAAAGAAAATCCCAGCAGATTTATTATTTCTCAGATTTTCCCATTATGTTTTCATAGAAGCCAGTTTCCTCTGACGCCGGAGGAAGATCCCAACAAGGAGTAGAGTTGGGGAGCGAGGCAGAAGGAAGGCAGTCTCTTGAATGCTTAAATCTAAGTCAGGACTGCTCTGGTCCTGCCCCCGGCCACAGGCTTCTGTCACCACTCTTGTGCCAAAGAGCCAGTTTAGGGAGGTGATCCAGCAGAAAAAAAAAAGGAGTTGGCTCAAGGGAAGGGGTAGGAGCACACGAAGGAGGGTGGGACTGCAGCCACTGCGAATTACATCAGCTTAAACTGCTGTGCAACCGCACCCTGAGTGCTTGTGCTTATCTTTGAGCTGCTCAAATCCTCTCTCGAATGGCCACAAGAACAGGCAATGCTCTTTCTAGGGCACAGCGTGCGAAGCTGGGCAAGGGGAGGAATGTATGTGGGTTTTAGTCTGGAAACTGGTTCTTAGGGAACAGATTTTGCAAAGCGCTGGGATGCTCCCACGATCTCTTGACTCCAGTGGCAAGGTCAGACTGGAGGGTAGTAATAACGAGCAGAGAGATCCGCTCCCGTTGTGCGTAACACAGCTCTGCTCCTTCCTCAAATCTTCACAAAGTTTCTTGTCTTGCAAGCAGTGGGACTTACTGCCTGTTTTGAGGTCACCCAGATGTATGCAGTGAGATGGAGGTCTTGCCAGTGCCACTGAGTGGTACCCCTTCAGAAGAGGAGAAAATGGGCCGGGTTGATTCGGTGCCAGGGGAGAGGTGACAGCGGTAAGAACAGACCTTCCTCGGTGCAGCTCAGCCCTGAGTTTGTTCAGCTCAACATTACCCCCTTGTGGGACATAGGTGGAAATTCAGACTGATGCCAGTTCCCCTGGCAGGTAGGTGTCCGGTGGAAATTTTGGCCGTAGTTTAGGGCAGTCTCGCAGGCAACAGATGCTCATGTCCTTGAGAAAACTCATGGTGTCTGAGAGTACCCGGTGGCTTGTGGCTGGTGTGCGACACCTTCCTAGACCCAAACAGTGGTTACGTGCTTGGAAAGTCCAGCTAGCAGGGGAGGGGAGTTTGTGTATTTTGCCAATAGAGAAAGCTATGCAAAAGCTTTGACATCGTGAACAGACCTGTGTCTCCCTGCACGTTTGTCCTTTACTGAACACCCCGGCGCATAGAAAATCAGTGGCTGGCTGGGCAGTTTGCAAATTATGACCTCTTGCGAATGGTGAGTCTCTCTGTGAGCTGTTTTCATTGTGGGACTCCTTGGTAAGCTTGAAAAGAGAACTTAAGTTTAGTTATTCGGGGATTTGTTGTCATTGGCATACAATAGGTAAACTGCCAAGTTGTGCTTCATACAGGAGTGTATAATGTAGTGTCATAAATACCTTCAGGTGGTGTAAACCAGAGCTAACGCTGAAAGAAGCAACCCTGCATACCCCAGGCCATTGATTTCCACCTCGGTCTTTCCCTGCTTTGTGCCCACTGGGGCCATGTAGTGAAGCAGTGGGGAAGGGACAGGAGTTCAGACCAACCTACTTTGAAGAAGGTTTGTCCCAGCTTAGACCAGCTCCCTAATTTGGCTCAATGTGCAGTCACCCTTAGCTGATACATCAAAGCACAGGGCAGGAGAGTGGAAACTGGCCATGAATGGGGGATGTGCAGGAGCTGCTGAAGGTTGGGTTGAGCCAGGGTGGGTTCCACCGTAGGTCCAAGCCACACACAAAAAAGTCTTGGGGTTTTGGGTCTTTTCAAGCAGGAGAGAGTCGACAAAGGGATTGAGACAGATGGCTCAAACCTGAGCGGAGTGAGTGCCAAATGTGCCTGGGATGATCTCAGCCGGCCCCCAGAGGATGACGAAGACAGCAGGAGCATTTGCATTGGGACCCAGCCGCGGCGGCTCTCCGGGAAAGGTAAGAGGTCCTGGGCTGAGTTGCTGTCATGGCCTTTCGGCTTGTTTTCTGATGGGTCTGGGCAGTGGGCTGAGTCATGCAGCATCCTGGGGTTCATAACAAGCGCTGCGTTTACTGGAAGGCTCAGTATGTCTCAGGGTGGCAAAATTAATTTTGGTGTGGCCTCTTTGAGGAAGGTAGGAGAGAGGAAAAGAGATCTTTGCATTGTTTTGTCTAAATGTTTCTTTGAGTTTTTAGGCTATTTCTAATCTAAATCCACAAAGTTAAACTGAGCACTGGGTGAAACCAGGACTGTAAACACTTGCAAGGTAAAGCAACTGCAATTTCCGAATCTGTGCTTCCTTTTTAACATTGCCATTTCTTGGGTGTCAAGTTGGACTGACACTGCAGGTTGCTGCAGCTGAACTCAAGTGATTCTTGCAAATACGGAACTCTGGAAAAAATAAATAAAATATGGTGGAGTTCCCCTTTGCAGTGAGATGCCATCTCAGGGTACAGATGTCATAGCCATTACACGTGCTTGAAATTATGCATGTTATCTTTCAAATGGGTGAAGTAACATAAAATTTGAGGGCTTGAGACTTCCTGGAATTAACTGTGGTTTCCACAGGAATGGTATCTTACTTGGTTTTAAGTCTATGGTAAAAAAAAAAAAAAAATGCATGTAGGATTCTTTCTGGCTTCTATGCAAATATTTTGAACTGCACTGGAACTAAAAAGGCTATTTTCCCTGAGCTCTGCACACTAAAAGCCCAAGACAGGTATACATAGTGATATTTGTATATCTTTCAAATTATTTTAAAACCATTTGGATTTTTTTTTTCTCTACCTGATTACCACATTTCTCAGAAAAAGATGAGGAAACGTCTAAGAAAGATAAGAAAGCATCCTATTAAAGTTTTTGGCCATTAGACTTTATAGAAAGTGAAAAAGTAAAAAGGCTGCATCTGAACTATATCATTTGCAGTTTATTTTCAAATGTGAGCTTGAGGATAAAGTTTGCCCTGCATAAAATTCCTTTCTTTTGTGAATCTTACTGTAAATTAATCAACAGATTTGCAAAACCTATTTCAAAAACTCAGCGACCTCATTGCACTTGTTTGGTAAAGGAATAAATTCCTGTTGTGCCTAATGGGAAAAGTGACTTACAGTGCAAAGGCTGGAAGTGTCAGGAGGTTCTGTGAGACCTGTAGAAACAGCAAACACCACATTTATGAAAGGATACAAAACTACTCAGAATTTCCTCATCAGGAGGGCTCTGTCCCAAAGATTCCAGCTCTCCTTGCCTGACATAACACTGCAGCCCAAACCAAGAGAATTCAAGCTGACTGTATAAAGTGAAATAACTCCTCAGGTGCAGGAAGAGCCATTAAGAATTCACCCTTAGCATCTCTTCATTTCTTTCTGAAGGGGATGACTTTAGATGAAACACACCATAGAAACGGGCCTTTGAAAAAAAAAAAAAGAAGCTGACATCTCCTTGTGTCTGGGATGTTTCTGGGGAATCTAAATCATGTTAAAAAAATTGTCTTTGCAGATACGGAGCAAATCAGGGAGACTTTGCGAAGAGGGCTTGAGATTAACAGCAAACCTGTTCTACCTCCAATAAATGCACAAAGACAGAATGGGTTGAACCATGACCGAGCACCGTAAGTTTCGCCGTGCACACTCAGATGGTGGAAGGAGGGAGCCTAAAGAGCTCAGCATGGAAAACAAAGTTAAAGCTGGGTGGGAAAAGACTTCTCAAGGGGAGAGAAAAGGTAGCAGCAAATACTTGCAAAGCAAGAGGATAGAGGGAGAAGAGCTGTTCAAGTTGGATTAATGGGCTGGTACTCAGGATGGCAGATTTTGAGAGGGATTTTAGACAAAGCTTGCTAATACAGAGTGGCTCTGTGTTCTATAGGACTTGTTCCTCATGGTGTACATTGTTTGAAATCGGACCAGGTTGAGCCCTATAAAATGTTCTGTGGCAAACAGTGCTATGGTATCCAAAGAGCTAGGTGGCATAGATGAGTGTTTGCTGATATTTTTGCCTGAGCGTTTTGTTTTCAACCTCATAATTACAATCCTTTTGGTTAAAATGTTGATTTTTTTTTTTTTTAAGTGACTTTGATCTCACCTTGCTTAAGCAGGCAGGTACTGGCAGCAATTACATGCCAATACCACCCTGGTCTCTAATAGTCTGTAGACTAACAGGTGATTTCAGTGGGACTAGGTGGGCCTGTAGGTCTCCCCTCATTTGTAACTTTTGACTTCGGTGAATCTATAGGGAAAACCTAAAAGGAAATTAGGTTTCAAGCCATCTGCACTTCCGTCTTTTGGGGTTTCTCCCCTTCCCCTCTTAGGCTTGTTTCAGTTGCTAGTTAAATGTCTTCCCATCAATTTTAATATTTTCATCTAAATCATACAGAAAGGCATGCATCTATGCTGCACTCTTTCATCTTGGTATTTCCTTTGGTTTCCTAGTCTCCGATGAACATTTGTGCTTTTCTTGGTCCAAGAGTAAAGATCATCGTGAAATCAGCTCTTTCTTGTAGTGCCAGGCAGGGACAGCATCCTGCTCTGTTTCAATTCCTATTTCTTTCTTGATACTAATAAGTAATATGAGATATTGATGCTTATATAAAAAAAAAAAATCTCAAGTGGCTTTATTATTGCTTTAGGAATAATCTTACTTTTGCTATGTAGTAATTATATGGAGCCAGATTGTGACCCGACTCAGATTTTGAGTAGTACTTTCTTGCCTGAAAGTCCCGTTGAACTCTTGGTTGGTCCCATTGGCCCCACTGAAAAAAATGAAATGATGCCATCTGATTTGCACAAATCACACCCAGTTTTGGAAGGCTCAAAAGTGGTGAGCAGGATTTCTCACAGATGTTGGGCTCCTGCATGAATCTGCATGCCCAGTAAAAGCTCTTGAGTTCGCAGTGGTTGGGGACGACCAGAAACATTTGGGGTGTGCATCAGGTCAGGGAGGCAGCTGATGGGTAAGCCTTAATGCTTGGAGGTAGTTGTTGCTTAGATAAGAAAGCTTTATGTTATTCAGGGTAAGATAAACAGAGATACGCTCAAGACAGAGTGGTGAAAGGTTAGTAGAGGGCTAAGATGGAGCACACAAATATTTACTTGGGTAGTTAACTGTTCTGAGACAGAGGAAGGCAGGTCAAATTCAGAGCCTCATATCTGTGATAGTGCTCTTTGTTGCAAATCTCTCTTACCTGTAGCAGCTGCACACCCACCCTACCTGAAGCCTGAGCGGTAGGAATGACCGGTTCCCAGTGTTTGCCTCCTAAAAGATCAATACATTTCTCTGAGGTCTGTGGTTACCACTGTGGAAACTGATAGCTAGCCTGTTCCTCCATATTAGCAATTCAGTTAAGGAATGAGAGCTATCAGCTGTGTGTCTTGCCAGCAGTTACTCTCGTGATAGTTAGCACGAGAAGGATAGAGGAGATCTCCTCAACTTAAAACAGTAATGTGTCCTAATACTTTCTTCCTCCATCTTACTGACTACTTTGAGAGGAGTTTGGAAAAGGTCTTTTTCTACTTGTGCAGTGGCTTCTCTTCTCCAATGCATGTAGCAGATACAGTGGGACTTGTTCAATGCATTGACCATACTGAGAGGGGTGGTGTGTGCTGGAGAGCAGTGTTTACTCACAACCTCTAACTAACCGGTACTTAAATCAGACCTGATGATTACCCTTACTGTGGTTAAAACTTATCAGTCAACATATTTTCCAGCACAGCGTGGTATAGATGAAGCAGAAGAGGAAGATCTTACTAAGTCTTAGCCTTTCTTAGTACACTGTCTCAGCATGTCTTACGTGTTTGAGCGAAGTTGCTCAATGTGCTACTAAGTACATGAGCATGATCTGAAAACTCTCATCTCCAGCGGCTGCAGAGGGAGGTAACTTAAGAGGGAGGCTTTTGCATGTAGTAATATCTCTACATCCATGTTCCCTGCAGGTACCTGCTAGCGGCAAAGGCTAAGACACGAAAGGCACAAAACCCAGTGCAGATATAGTCATTTCATAAGACTTGCAAGCACCTGAGATGAAGGACAGCTCTGCAAATAGATCTGGTCCTTCTGGTGCAATCCTTGCTTGGGCCTGGTGGGGCTGGGTCTCAGTTCTGTCCTTCACTGTAGATGTGTCACCAAAGGCAAGTCATTTAGCTATTGAGCTTCATTTCTGCATCTATCAAATGGGACTAATAACAATGTCATCTTCTTGGGGCACCACAAGCATAAATATGTTAATGATTACGAGGTGCTGGGTGATGGGAAGCAGGCTTGTGTGTAATCATATCCTGCACTGTACACACCAGATCATAAAATATCAAACGCGTGATTTGTTGCAAGGGTCCTGTGAGTAACTGGTGCATTAGAACCTCCTCAGGAACTTGACAGAAACACTCTGTTGGGGCATGGCAAATTGTTCCAAATCTACTTTCCATAGGGAGCACTGCAGAACCCTAGGCCGTCAAATATGCACCCAGCTGACATTAGGATGTTAAAGTCTGACACAGACTCTAATGGCTTCATGCAGAAGAGGAATGCGCTGTTTATTTATCATAGATTTGCAGCCACCAACTGCTTTCCTAGTAGCTTTCTTCCCTTTCTTTTATCCTAACCCTGCCACCCACACACAATAATCTATCAGGGTTTAAAGCAGACAACCTGTTCTGCATTCAGCGTCACAAAACAGTATCAGAAACACTCAAACTTTTGAATATTTATTTGTATAAAATGTGGAGGATCCAGATTCCATACAGATTTCCATGTCTTTGTGTAGTTACAGTTTTCAGCGCTTATGCAAAAGCCTCACATTGTTTGGTTGCAGATAGGGCTTGATTCAGAGCTCTGGCTCCAGCAAAGCACATACTTACATGTTAAGCATGCATATTACCAGTTGTTCACTGTCCCAGAGTCCTAAAAAAAAAAAAGTTCCTTTGAGAAAAAGCTGGTTTCTGTCAAAACCCTGTTGGGCAGCTGTAGTACTTTGATTCATTGGTGTTATTACTGTAGACTGTGTAGCCCTTTTTCTCCTAAGGATATGAATAAAAGCACTCTTAATGCTTAAAACTGGATCGGACATCTGTTTCTCAAAATGACTGTTAGCTCAGTTTATAAGCAGCCATTAAATCAGTTCGTACGCATTAAACAAAAGAACATGTAAATTAATCTTTGGAAACATGACTAATCGTTTCGACCATAGGTAACATAATACTCTTGATTACTGCTTGGAAAAATGAGGCGTGTATGAATACAAATGTACTTTACAGTGGCGCATTTTTTATTTCTTAGGACCCATCAGCTTAGTAGGTGCTGCTCAGACAGACAGAAGGGGAAGGCTCCCCGTCTCCCAAACTGTGCAGATGCGCTCTCGTTGGATATGGCAAGCTCTTACCGATGAGGAAGATTTAGATGTCAGACTAAACGCTGCTGCTGTTAAGACCTCAGTGAGCTGGAAGCTCCAGATGTCAAAGATCAGTGACACTTGTAGAGTCTTGCTTCATTTGCTATTTAATTTCTTGATGTGATAAGTTCTGGGGCCGAGTCTTTAATTGTCCTTGGCAATTAGCTCTGTGCTCTCCTGTGAGGTAGGTGAGTAGTATCTCCACTTTACAGATGAGGACAGAGGAGTTAATTTGCCACAGTTGCAGTAAAAGCCAGGGTTGGGATAGGGGAATTCTTGACCTTTTCCAACCCTCAAGGGTCCCCTTGATCACGCAGTGTTGCTGAAAGTGATGTTTTTCTGCCCCTTGGCTGACTCAGACTCTTCTGCTGCTCCTGTGAGCTGAGGCATGCAGTAGAAACCTAGAGCTAGCATGCTGCATTACTGCACATGTTGAGGCTAAAATTATCAGTAATTGCTACATTTCGCTGTGCCAGGATTCAAGAAATGCCCATGCGCATCCCCAGTGTCTGAAGGTGAGGCTTGAGTGGTGGAAAAAGATCTCCCAAGGTTGTGTTACTTTGACAAGGCTTTTCCAGCATCTCTCTACTGTTTATTGCTCTCCCCCTTCTCAAGAAGGATATGGTGGTGTGGTTCAAAGTGCCTGATTACTTCCCATATTTCTGTCTGGAGTTTCTGAGATAACTGTGAGTGCACTGGTCCCCTTATGCACAGCGGTCATTTGTCCAGGGACCCACAACAGATGCCCCAGAGACCTCAAATCCCATCTGCATTCAATTTCCAGGCAGAAAGACAGGTTGAGTCTAGGGAAACCTGAACATATGGTAGCTCTGTGCCCGTGTGCTAATTCCATCCAGCCCTGAACCATTTCCAGCTGTGCAGGGAAATGAAGGCAGGTTCCTGGCAAACAGAGCAGGGAACAACCCTCCGGCAGGTGGGGCTGGCAGGACTGTCCTGGCTGTGACCTTCTGGTGCGCTGCACCCTGAGCATCTCAGGCTGTTGCTCTTCCCTTGTGGGGAGAGGGAGGAGTTGTGTCACTCCAGAAGTCCTGCCAGGATAACCCCAGACTGTCACACGGTGTGCCTGGTTCGGAGCGCTTGAGTAGCAGTGGCAGCAATTGCAGGACTGGAGTCCACTGCCCACGTAGTTCCTCTGACTTGGTAAATAGGGCTTGCTGGTTTCTCCTTTCAGTGAGTAGCATCGGGTTAACGCACGTTAACAAGCTCCATCT